GACTCTATTCTGTTTCTGGGAAAATCTAGATGACCATTTTTTAGTTGTTTCAAGAAAAGTAGTAAAATGTTACTCAGAAAAAATGTTGATGTCCTTTTTTTTAAATGTGGAAATTCCGGTCTCGGGTCTCGTAAAGCTTTAATAAATGAGTCATAACTCATTAACCGATGATTTATAACTCGTTAACTCAGAGAGCGGCAACAACTCAATAGCGCAACTCAACACAGTGTTACCCAGGCCTAGTTGAAACGCACTTTAAAGTAAGGCAAAACGTATTTTAACTTAACGACTTAAAAGTGCGAGAAGTCGTTTTATGTAAAATTGGGCTGAAATGAGGCCCTTTTATGGGCTGAATCATCTGTTTCGGCACATAGCATAAGCACAAATCGAAATCAGCAAAACTTCACCTAGCGATTTCATTTGATTTGTCGAGACATTTGCGGCTGAACATGTGAAAGTTTAAGCCCAACTGGGGTCTCTTTTTAAAAAATGTTGATTGTTTTAACTCAAAACTCCCGATGGTTTAGGTCAGGTGATCGAGATGGCCTAGCTACTGTCGGTCAATTGATCGGTTTCGGAAGAAAGTCGATTTGTGACAGGAAATATTCAGGAGGAGACCATAGACCAGGAGACCGTTTGGAATCCGTCGATGCATATGGGCATTTTGATTGGAAAATTTTGTCTGAAAAAAAGCTAGATTTTTCTCACAAAGAGATCAAAAACGGGCAGAAAGTTGCTTGAGGAGGCGGTGGCAAGAAGCCCTTGTGACTCCGCTGAAATATCCTGATGGCATTAGGCAATGAAAATAGCGGAGAAACACATAGCGACCCAATCAGATCAAAATGATTGAAGAAAAGCAATCTAAGAAGAAACGGTAAAGATTGACCAAAGTCTGCGAGCATTTAACGGATGCGGGTACCGGTTCGACATCAATTAGTTGCTGTTGGGCGTGGTGTGGTCATGATTGACGGTCGATTTTTTGCCAACTTCCGCTCAAACGCCGAAAATGATGAAAGTTTCGAAAGTACATGTGCTGGCTTGACGTAATCGGGCAGCAGGAAAAAAATCAAACTTATATTAGTGGCGCATTATTGTTGCGATCGCACGCCTGACTGAAGAATCAAATTTTTGCTCGTTTTTCGGCACGCTTAGATTAACCAGTTTAGTGAAGGTGGTCATGCATGTTCCCATGGGCTGCAAATAGCCGCGGCGTTATAATATAAGAGGTGTGAAATGCTGTTACGAATACAGTCGGAAAAAAACACGATTTCAATTAGTTCGAATTTTTTGGCAACATTTGCCGGCCTGATAGCCGGATTTTGGCCCCTGGGTATCTGGGTTGTCCATTGCTGTATGCACTTATGAAACACCACTTAGCAATAGCTGGCCGCACAAAAAAAAAACACGGTTTACTAACTTAAGCCTTTAAGCGCCTTGCACACACCGCTTTGATTAAGAATTTGCTTATCAATCTGTTTAGCATTTCAAAGTGGGTTTTCGACCCGTTTGGTCAACTAGTTACGACCAGTCCGATTGCAATCGATTTGCTTGTTGGCTTGAACGGACGCGACCCAGAACAAACAGAAACCACAGCAAGGCAAGTGACATTGTCTTGTTGATAAATACCTCAAAGACGAAGTTCAAGAATTTCGTCAAGATCAAGAGCGACGACTCGCACATGGTCACCACCGACGCATCTTCAGGCGATGGGTCCGTTACCTTCGATGCACCTGCTGGCCCATTAACAGGTCGAATGCGCTCTTCTGCAACGTCATTTCTTCATCAATGGGCTTGATTGCTCCAAGTCGGATAGTGCAGTTATGCCACTATCAATCAATCACCCTGTAGAGGAATTGGAAAAAATGCTTAATTAGCATGAGGAAATGGTTTAATTGAATGCCATGCCAAGAGGAAACGGAGCGTTTGGTTCATTTTCAACTAGGGCGAGCTTTAGGGCATCTCGCACACTCACAGAGCTAGAAATCTGCAATTGGGACTTTACTGACCAGACAAAGGATGGATTGCGCAAGTTGGCGAGTTGGTTGAAAGCCACAACTTGCAGCCTTTCACCAGGTTTTTACCGGAAAAATGCCGGTTTCTACACGAGTTGCGAAAAGTTAGAAAACTGATTAAAGGCAATTGCAAGCACATTTGATTAAATCCGGTCAAGTATTTATGAAAGTCTCTATTGACTTAATTGTTAACTGTTTTTGCCCAGGCCTGAAAGGTTCAAGTAGTAGTAATCATTAGTAAACCAAAAAAAAACACAGAATTTATGCATCAACGGAATCTAAGGCCCTCAATTTGGAAGTTTCGGGCGAATTATTCGAATATCGCGTTAATTCAATGGCTTCTTCGCGTTAGTTTGGGGGTGGGCTTCTAATTTTATTTATGAAGGCGAATAACGTAGACAGATGACCGATTTTTTCGGAATGTTTTGCTAATTCCCGCAAACAGTCAGTGCAGACTTGTTTATTTTAAAAAAAAAATTGACTCCTTTGTTGCACTGAAATTTCGTACTTAATTTTCTGATTTCTAAAATTCTCTCATAAAATACAACAATATATTGTCGAAAATTGTCAACTAGGGACAACTTCTGGAAAGTTTGATTGCAAATTTGATGATAATCAAATTAGAAGAAATAATCTCTGGTTCATATTTTCAAAAACTTTTCGGCCCTTTGAAAATTTTCCAAGGAGCCGATTTTTTGGGAAAAATAAATGTTTTCAAAATACGAGTATATTGAAATCTACATCAATGCGATCCCAAGGAAGCTGGGAATACAACGAACTCATTATAAAACACGCTAAAAGTTTCAGTTTCGAAATCATCGATATTTTCGGTACATTTTATGCGTTTTTTGAGCATTCACGATTTCTTCCCTTTCATTGATCGCAACACTTTATCAATGCACCTTTGTGAGCTTCTTAAGGCAAAAGGAATCGATTGAGCGCAAAAAACACGCATGTAAAATTTAGAGTTTTTGTCGAAAATTTTCTACCTAAGTGTGGGGATCGATTTATTCAAAAAATGTATTTTTTTTCAAATTGCGTTGAAATCTACGTCATTGTGATCTCGAGGAAGCGATAAATGCAACGAACTATTTGAAAATCAGGCCAGAAGTTTCAGTTCCGAAATAATCGGTATTTTCTGTACATTTTATGCGTTTTTTGAGCATTCACGATCTTTAACCGACGATTTCTTCCTAATTATTGATCCAGACGCTTCATAAATGCACTTTTGTTATGTTCTTAAAGCGCAAGGAATCAATTGAGCCCAAAAAACACGCATGTAAAACTTTGATTCTTCCGAAAATTTTCTGTAAGCGTCGATTTATTGAAAAACATAAATTTTCTCAAATTGCGTTGAAATCTACGTCATTGTGTTCTCAAGGATACTATAAATGCATTGAACTCATTGGAAAACAGTTTCGAAATAATCGATATTTTCGGTAAAATTAAAATAAATACATATTTTCTCAAAATGCCTTGAACTGTACATCATTGTCCATCATCGTCAATGCAACGAACTAGTCGAAAAACACGACAGAAGATTCAGTTCAGGAAATAATCGATATTTTCGGTCCACTTTAAGCGCTTTTTGAGCGTTCGTTGTCCGTATGTGCTAAATGTTGAGTCGTTTTTACCATTTTTCTGTGTTCGATATATTTTGTTTTATATTGTCCGTACCATTCGCTTTGTCCATCAGATCTATTAAAATTGTTCTTTTGCAATAAAGCATATTTTGGTTTGATTGGATTTGATTTATTCAAAAAATGTGCCCCAGAAAGCCGTAAACTTGGCAAAGGAATGCCAAAAGAGGCAATTACGAGCTCCAACAATTAATCGGATTTTCGACGCATGACTTTCCGAATGGTTGAGCACCGTCGGAAAGAAATTGGCTCGTGATTTCGGCCAGACTTTGGGCAAAAAATAAAGGAAAGTGCCGGAATTCGTAAAATCTAATTTGGTAACTGCGATTGTACCAATGACCTATTAGGTGCAGTGATTTACGACGATAAATGCACGCTTAGAAGCCGCCGATCTGTTGCAAACTAAGCCCCAGGCCGGAATCGAGTTTTCGAATTCGATCTTGATCTTAACACAGCTGGAGGAGCTTCTAGCTGCTATGCTCAATCGACTGCCCTTTCGCTTCAAAGGTCCCCAATTTGCGAGTTAATTGCACACCTTTGCCCCGCTTTTCAGCTAATTTCAAGGCATTTCCATGCAATTGCAACCGATTTAAGGTCGACGTTGTCTGGCATTAAGCAATCGAATTAGGTAAATTGCTTGGCACAGTTGGCAATTAAACCTTTTAACCACACAAAAGATACGAAGATGTTGATGTCTTTGTGGCCGATTTTCCAGAATCACTACTGACCTAAGTATATATTTTTTCCAAATCGCAAATAGAAGCCATTTGGCAATTGGAACGACTTATCGGAATGTTTGCTTGTTTGCAAGACGCGGCATTTTCAAACGTGAAAAAAAATGCCTTCATGATAGTTCGCATTCGATCGGCAAAACGATGAAAAAATACAAAGAGTGACTGGTAGATCCCAGGTTTTTGGGCGAAATAAGCAAGGGCCCCTTGTAGACGAATTAGGTAAGGGCGAGGCACCGCAACTGGTCGAATCCTCGACTTGATTGGAGTTTCATTAGCGATCTTTACTTACCAAGCAACGAACTTGTCTTCGAATTCGCCCAAAGAGAAATAAAGATCGATTCGTAATGGTTTTAGATGGGTGACATGGAGTAGTTGATCACTCAGAACCCGTCGGCTGACGACTGCCAATTTTCAAGAATCTGGGTCTAGTGGTACGCCGGAAAACAGAAGAAAAAAATGGAGTAGGCGAACATCGCTGCGGGCGCAAAACTAGCGAATGGTATCGAACGGTCGAATATGCAACCATGTGCAACCCATTTTTTTCCCTCCGAACCCTCCACCGTAATTGTTATACATTTTACCATTCGGGCTCACGGTATGGCCCCCCGATTGCCCAGATTTAGTATATAAGCGCTCCGGATACCTCTCCAAAGCATCACTTCTTGCAGTTTGGTCGGTTTATACACACACACAAACGAATCCGCCATGAACGTTTTGGTGAGTTTTGCCATTTTCGTGACTAAGTAGTGACTTTTTTAAGGGGTCTTTCAGAGTATTCTTATAGTAAATTGCAGTAGTATGCTAATCAAGCGCCAGCAGGCTTTAATCAATTCGGCATAATAATGAACTGGTTTCATTGATTGCAATGTCTATGCCAGCTCGATAATCGGGTGTTTTTGCTCTTTCAGGCCGTAACAATCTTGGCTGCTGTCGCCACCCTCAGTGCTGCTTTCCCAGGAGGACACGGAGGCGGCCATGGATACATCGGTGGCCCTGCATTCGGTAAGCCCCAAAACCTCCCCTAAATTTGCGCAATTTTCCATTACGCAACCCTCCATTATTTCAAAAGTGAAATTTTTGTGTCGCAATGCGGCAGTTCTGTTCTGGTTGCTCGGCTTAATGGACTGTTTCCCAGCGATTTTGCCTAATTAAGTACGCTTATGTCCACCGGTTGGTTGTTCAACAGCTGCAACGGTCGTTACGGCCTTTGCAGGAAAGCGGCAGGTTTTCCTATATGGCGACATACGTTGATCAATGTCTTTAATCTGTTTTGAGACATTTCCTTGTACTTTCATCCACTGCCTTTGGCGCACTTTAAATTCCTTAAAGTCCGTTCTCCAAATTTAGTCCAAACAGTTCAAAACACATTCCTTTTCTTGCACAATCGAAGGAAGCAACATCAGGTACCATCATGGCAACACATTTATTGGAGTAGAAAGTCGCGTTTTTGATTGAGCCCCTTTCTTGCAGATGGCGGATGTGGTCCACATGGAGGTGACGGTGCTGGTGGCGCCGGATGCGGTGGAGGATTTGGAGGCGGTGCCGGGGGCGGTTTTGCCGTCGGCGGCGCCGGAGGCGGCTTTTACGGAAGCGAAGCTGCCGGTCCCACCTACGTCCAAGTAAGTAAACCCAGCTCTAGAAATGGGGCGTTTTGTCAACTCTCTCCTTTAGGGGCCCGCTGCTGGAGGCAAGACCCTGTTAGGACCCGCTGAAGGCCCCAACAACATCCAGGGAGCCTCCCAAGGACCAACCAACCTTGCCGGACCCCAACAAGGACCTGCCAGCATCGTCGGACCCAGCCAGGGTAAGTTCGCGTCTTTTCCAGAGACTCTGGATCTGGACTTTACATGAAATGCCTCCCTTAGGAACCGCCAGCGTGATTGGACCCACTAACGGAGGTGCTCATATCGTCGGAGCTGCCCAAGCCCCCATCACTTACTCTGAAGGAGTCGCTGTTTCTACCGGAGGATTGGGAGGTGGTGCCGGAGGCGCTGGAGGTTTCGGAGGTAAGAGCTGTTGTTTGAAGCGCCCCAATTGGCCAGCACTGATTTGTTTCGAACAATTTCAGGTGGATTAGGAGGTGGTCATGGAGGCGCTGGACTCGGTGGTGGATACGGAGGCTACGGAGGCCACGGAGGATACGGAGGTAAACACTACTAGGTTCGTTCATTTCTCATCTTTATTAATCATCGGCGGCCCCGAAAGGGGCGCTGATGGCAGCAGCAAAACCATCACCTAACACGCCACATTTACCTCCTAAGCTATACTAACTCGACACTGTGACCAACTGTAAAATAGGCTAGAAACACCCTGCTTGAGCTTGAAAAGTCCCCGGCTGGACAGTGGTGATCGTGAATGTTTTGCAGGTTCATCAGCAGGTCACATTAGCTACGATGGCGGAGTACTCAAAGGGCCCATCACCGTCCCAGTGGTAATCAAAGGTTCTTCTGGCAAAATCGTAGCTGATGGCCTTTACGGACTCCCCGATGGACACTACTAGACCGACCATAGGCAAACCAATTCTTTCAGTATTACGACTTTACTTATTCGTTGTTAGTCTCTATTTTTCGCGTAGCCTTATTTACCTAAGATCGTCACAACACACACATTTACGTTAATTTCGTCGTCATCATTATTTCTCCTTGGCTCTCTCATTTTCATGTTTCGTGCTCAAAAAAACGGTTCGCTTGTAGGCACTCGCTGTTTTAGAGCTTGAGCAGTTCACGTCGAACATGCTTTTTTTGAGCATTACCTGTGATTTTTTCATTATGTACGAGCTTGGTGTTATCATCATGTTATTTAATATGTATAGTTTTTATGTTTTTTACTTGTACAAATGTATATGCGTTAATAAATGACTCTTTTTAAAAAATACCAGTTTCATTTCAACAAACCATCCTATGCCCAATTGGTGTTAGCTTTTAGCTAATATCTCAACAATCATTTGAGCTAGCGAGCTCATTAAGCGCACTGAATTGCGCAAAGTTCCATTGAACATCAGCTTGGGAATGCGACTAGTCTTTCTATATCAAGCAAATTTGCTTTCTCCTTTCGTGGGATCAATAGTTCATGATTCAGAAACATGCCTTCCCCTGCTAAAGGCGGAATTTAATTTTGCTTAGTTCGACTCTGAACAGACTTTTCATTAAGAGTAGCAATAACTTGAAGCAGCACGCAAAAGCTCAAAAATAATAGTAGAACATTAGCAATCAGTCCTGGTTGTATACAAAGGATTATAAATGTATCATAGTTATAAGCAGAAAACACCAACAAAACACAGTAAAACCTGACAACTTTGCCAACAAAATTTTTTTTTCTCAATATATCTTGTATACAGGGTGATTCAAATTTGACGTCATTTCTTTTAAGGGGTAATAGGGGCTCACTTGGAAGGTACGAGAAAAATATTGAAATTTTTTTTCGATAATTTCTAGAAGATATTAACAGTTGAAAATCGAATTTCAACTTTGTTATTAAGCATTATTTTGACAGTGTTCCATGTTTAATTGGTAGCATATTGGAATACTCAAGCATTCAAAAGAAAAATTACAATCTGCTTCAAATTACGAAAATTTTTTATATTAAAAAAGTTCTCTTCTTCAATTTTTTGATGAAAAGTCAAAGCGGCAATTATGTTTTTTGTCATCAACAGATAGTTACAGGTGGATAATGGCCCTTGTCAATAACAACAAAAATTTGTCAAACTGTGACTTACTTTGAATTTCCTTTCACGAATTTGCGATTAGTTCAGGGGAAATGCTACAGTAACATAATAACCTTGAAAATATTGTTGTCGTTTTTCTAATATAGTTTTTTGCAAATTTCTCAGTTTCTAATTACAATTAATTTTTTTACTATTTTTCTGTACTCTTAAATCAACGCCAGACAACACCTCCAGAGGAATGATGCCAATTTTGAATCACCCTGTATAATAGCGAATGCAATTGTCAATTAGTTGAAAATGCGATTGAATAATCTTGCATAGCACTTGCCACAATGATTAGTTTTTCGTTGAAAAATCAACGAAGTTCTAGTACTTTTTGCAGTAAAAAGATCAAATTTTTGCGCATTGATAATAAATTCAGCAAATCAGCGATTTGAGTTTATTATCATTGAAAATTGCTTCCAATTCAATCCAATCAATCAAGCCGCAAAGTGCAACTAATGCACCAAAGAAATTAACGTCCGGAACAACATTGGAGTAGTAAAAGCACAATCTCCAATAGCGAGCGCTTTCGAAAACCGCCCAGTGCAATTTGGCCGCCTTAGAAAAGTTCCTAAAAAGAGGGTTTTTGGTTCAAAACTAGACTCAAGATTTAAGCCCTTTGGCCTTATTAAAGAGCTTTAATTTTCAGCTGTTGTTCCTTTCTCCTTTACAATTTCCATATTCATTGTCCTCGCAATTGCAAGTGAACGAATGCAACTGGTTACTGGCCTATATAAAATGACTGGGAAGGTCAACGGTGCAGGGTATTTCTTCATTTTGCATTATTATTCAGATTTAGTCCTAAGAAAATTCTCAGCCAGTTGCAGTACATTCTAATACTCCCATAGTGGCAGTTGCGGTTCAAAATGCATCGACTACTGGTGAGGATTTTCTGTTCCTACTGTAGAGTATTTAACAGAATTATTCCAGAGCTTCTTGATGTTGCTGGCGCCTATTGTCGCCCTTCCTGCGGACCGCTGGCCCAACCTTGGACCATCGAGGCACGAAATCGTCATTACTCCCGCTTCAGATCACAGTAAGTTGAATCTTTTAAGCCTCCGGATGCTGATCAAAGTGTTTTTTCAGTTCCAACCGAATATCCCCACAACAGTGCCAAGAAGGAGCCGATTTATCACTCGACTTATGCGGCCATCAACCAGATTTACCCCTCCGAAGAGGAGCGACCTTCTAAACTGTACCCGCCGCCGGAAGTGCATTCCGGATACGGACACCATACCGAAGAGAGGAAGCACCACATTGACGAGAAACTGTTGCGCAAGCACTACGAAGACTATCTGGATAAGCAGGCCAAGTTCAAGAAGAACCTGCTGGAAAAGGCGCTGTTCAAGACAGTGGATGTGACTGCGAAGATCGCCAAATCCACGGTGGATTTTGTGACCAAGATTGCCATCGAAACCGCTGCCAAGCTGGCAAAAAATGGGGCAAAACACGTGATTCACAAGAAGGACGAGAAGTTGCATAATCCGGCCAATCACCACTACTACTGATGATTGGAGGCGCTTGGTAGTAATCACACTAGCTTAGATTCATGTCAGCACTTTCCTTAGGTCTAGTCATAGTTGTTAAAAGGACAAGGAAGTTTTTGGAGAATGTAAATAAAGTCAAAGTATGAACAATGAAAGACTTTCGGTATCAGCAGAGCCGTCACGAGCTTTTGATATAGGCAAGTGCAGATTTCGAAATTCGCTAACCTCAGGCACCCCCAGGACCGGTTTCGAGCCTATTAGCTCTCATCAACTGGGTTCAGCCGGAAATTAGCGATTCCGAAACATGCACTTTATAATACCAATGTATTCACATCGGCGTGAATTGCCATGATTTTAATGCTTGGTTTTCATCAGGCCAGAACAAATTCAATAAAAATAATTGAAAGAAAATACGATGTGGTTTGCTTTATCAATATTTACGAAAGTCTGCTTTTTCGCATTGGGCCGAATAACCATAACCAGCACAAACCAGCTCAATGGATGAACTTACAATTGGCCTTTTGGTCATCAGGTTTCTTCTGTTTCTATCTGAATTTTGGCGAAACACGATATTTTTACGTTTGTTAAATGGAAAAGTAACCAGACATGGTCTGCTTTACTCTTTTGCTTCCCCCTGCAGATGGCAGTTAATTTATTTCAATGGACGAGGCTCAGAACAGCTACAGCTCGATTCAGGACAGTCTAAGCTCAGTTTAGATGAATCAGAGTTTATAAGCCGAAACGTACGTTCTAAAGCATCCGATTTGGTTGAAGGGGGTTTCGTAAGGGAAGGAAATGAATAATTGAAAACTCATCAAAATTATTTGTGAATTTTGATCAAACTCTCCAATCCAATTGCCAATCTAAGGGATGATTAAGATTAACTCTGCTAATTTGGCGGCTGTTAAATGCAAAACTTCTTGTATGAATTATACCAACGTATTCTGTTAGTAAAAGCAGAAAACTGATTTGTAATAGGCAAATTCTTGACAAACTCGTGGACTTGCAATAAATAAACTAATATAGCATTTTGTCCAGATACAAACAGTTATTGCAATCCTGCTTCACCCTCACACCCTCACACGGTATATTACATGTTCGGCGCAGTTATTCATACTTTTCCTCCTCAAGTTTTCAGTTACTTTCTCATTTCTCAATGGGTCCTAATCCCTCCTTTGCAATGTTCAACATATTTAAATCCTTTTGAATTTGCAACAGATCGATAGAACTAGGAATTATCAATCAGTTTACTGCTAAATGCATCCAAACCGTTCCGCTGCCGCATATCGGGGCAAATAATGTGAAATCCTGCCTCTAGGGGAACAAATATTCGACTCTTTTGTTCACCAAATACCACACATATCCAGCAAAGGTGTGGTTTGCGCTCGAAGTCAACGCCTTGATTTTTTCTCCTCGACAAATACGTAACTTTACAAGGGCAGGAATGTTTACGATTGGCTGTATGCATGTTTTCACACACTGGACTTACTACAATTGAACGCCTGGCAGATGAAGAAAATAAAAAATTGTGGTTTCTCTGGATTAATGTATACAGGGTGATTCAAAATTGGCGTCATTTCTCTGGAGGTGTTGTCTGGCGGTGTTTTAGCAGTGCAGAAAAAATAGCAAAAAAAATTAATTGTTATTAAACTGAGAAATTTGCAAAATACTATATTAGAAAAACGGCAACAATGTTTTTTAAGGTAATCTGCCTAATTAACATTGCATAAATACCTGTTTGTTAAGGATTTTTTAACTGAACGTCAAAATTTACGTATACAGAATAGCAATAAGTCGATCCCGCCGTTTAAGCTAATATACAGGATGATTCAAAATTGGCGTAATTTCTTTTAAGGGGGAATAAGGGCTTGACTTGGGGACTGCGACAAAAATATTGAAATTTTTTTTCCGATAACTTTTAGAAGATACAGGGCGATTCAAAATTGGCATAATTCCTCTGGAGGTGTTGTCTGCGATGTTTTAGGAGTACAGAAAAAATATTGAAAAAAATTAATTGTTATTAAAAACTGAGAAATTTGCAAGAAAATATATTAGAAAAACGGCAACAATGTTTTCTAAGGTAATCTGCCTAATTAACAGTACGTAAATATCTGTTGCTCGTAATTATTTAAAACTCCGGTAACCATGAATAAATAGAGAAAATGACAATAAGATGGAGAAGGATAAACGGTAAAATCAACAGGAATCGTTGAATGACGGAACCTATTTCGAAACTCATAACCTCGAATTATTAATTTGTATACAAATTACAAAAACATACATTTGAGTCTGTAACTTCAAACAAGTGCCTGTGTAAACACCTTATTATGCACTCTTCTCGTATTCGGTTAATTAACTCCTGTTCAATTTATACCGGTGTTTAGTAATCCATTGGTTTAATGTGATCTTACATACGTGGTAGGAATGTAGCCGGTATTTATTTGGTGCCTGGGAAAGTGTCAGTGGTTGTGCAATGTTCTGAGTGCCCCTGAAAGGCTCTGCTGAAATTATGTCCAATACTTGTTCCTCTGTGTCTGGAACCCGAACATCTATTGTCGTCCACTATCTTCCTGGAACCACTCTCCTCGCCCTTTGTTGGCCCCAGAAGATAACTTTTGAAATTAAAAAAAAATTCTTAATTTGAAGCAAAGATCGTAATATTTGTTTTTGAATGCTTAAGTATATATGCTTAAGTAATATGCTTCCAACTAAACATGGAACACTTTCAAAATAATGCTTAATGGCAAAGTTGAAATTCGATTTTCAACTGTTAATATCTTCTAGAAATTATCGAAAAAAAATTTTCAATATTTTTCTCGTATATTCAAGTGAGCCCCTATTACCGCTTAAACGGAATGACGCCAATTTTGAATCACCCTGTATACAGTGTGGTCCCAAAATTGCGTTTTTAAAACATTTCTTCTGTATTGCCCACAAGTATCTATTTTTTGCTTACAATCATAAATGTTGTTTTGTAATGTAAATATGTTTGGTTGATGTTTCAAAACGTTGAAGAAAGATACAGGGTGTCCACATATAAATGCTTCAAAACGTGTAGTACTGAACAAGTAGGCAAACCGTAACTGTTTTTTTGTTTATTTAAGGGCAACAGCCCCTTGAAAAAACGACAAGAAATTTGGTCGTTTGCAATATCTGGTATCTACAAAGGCCTACTTTAAAGAACCCAGTTTCAGATCAAAAGAACCCCAAGCAAACCTCTGGTTGTGATTTGAAAATATTATATTTGTCAAAACTGAAAAATCACCCTATTGAGACGATATCTTGATGTCAACTTTTGAAAATCTGTAAAATTCGACGCAATTAACTAAAACTTTGATGTGTTTGTTCTTCCGCAAGCCAAAAAATATTTTTTCCGGCAGAAAAACGCCAACAAACCGGCAAGGTCGAGATAGAAATCAATTAAGGCAACGCGCACAGTAATTAGCAATTGGCCCCACTTGTCCTGACGATTCTGACTCAATCTGCCGAATTATTGACAAATTTGAACTTGAAAAATTCCGTTTTCACACCTTACCTGTAGCCTAAAATAGGGCAATTTGCGGAAGAAATGTTCCATAAGCCCTGCCAGAGTTTCTGTTATGTAAAGTTTCCCGGCGGCCTTAATTTCGTTGGAAAAAAGCCGCGCAATTAAAGCGCTGAACTTAAGCAGCGGCTAATTATTAATGAATGCAAAATGTGATAATTGCCACCGATGTATGCACCATTTCTAATCTAATCAGGGACGGGGGAGAAAGCAGTACTTTCAGAGGGCTTTATGAAGGAAATGTCCATATTTCACAGAAGCTGCACCTTAAACTTATCCCTTATTGATGATAACGCTCAAATAAATCCCGGGAAGGATCGGCTGAACCCGCCCACATTCACCACCTGTCCGGTACGCACCTTAACCAAGCGCCAAAGAAAAAACGGTCAGCCTCCACCACTGCGTTTCGTTATGATAATGACCCCAGGTCGCCACCATTTGGTACAAGAATTAACGCATTTTCCTCGTTGTCTTCGAAGGCCACTGATTGATCTATATAAGTATCAACCAGCCCAGTTTGAGTTATAGTTTGTCTTTCGGTTTCTTCATCGAAATAACTAACATGAAATTTCTGGTAAGTGCCCTTAAGCAAACCTGCAAAGCGCCACCGATAATGCCATCTTTCCCTATAGGTGGTTGCAACATTGGCGCTCTGCGCTTCAGCCCATGCAGGCATCATCCTGAAGGGGCCCTCTGGCATAATCACCCCTAATGGCCCCATTGGACCTGATGGTCGTGGCGCTGGCGCTGGATGGGTGGGAGCTGGAGCCTGGTCTGGTGACGATGGCAGTTGGGATGGTGACGACGGTTCATGGAAAGGAGAAGGTGCATGGGGAGGCAACGATATTATCTTAAAAGGTACCTTGCCAGACCCTTTTTTCCTTACAAGCAAACTAATGCGCCGTTTCAGGACCATCTGGTGCCATCACCAAGAACGGCCCCATTGGACCCGACGCCATTCAAGCCGGCTGGGGGGGCGAAGGTAAGACCCTACACCAACTCACCCTTTGAGTCTGAACGCAATTTTATGTTGCAGGTGCTTGGGGAGGTGATGACGGCCAATGGAGAGGAGACAATGGTAAGCAAAACACTTATTTAGAAACTCGTAGGTTTTACGTAATCGTTGAACCTTTCAGGTGCCTGGAACGGTGGATGGGGCGAAGACGACGGCCAATGGAAAGGTGACAACGGTAAGTCGCTAGTTTGGCGTTAATTCGATTGGTTCGCTCAGTAACACGTGAACCGATAGGCGCATGGAACGGCGGATGGGGCGAAGACGACGGCCAATGGAGAGGCGACTCTGGCTCATGGAAGAAATGGTAGACGCTGGCCACCAGAATTGCATAGTATAGTGTAAATAGTATGGATCGAAAGACTATGTTGACTATTTTACAACTGTAAATAATACCTTTCGTAACTAATGAATAAATCAAGCTCTTTGTTGAAATGTGCTCGATTACTTATTGAATCCAAGTCCAAACAGAGAACAGGGAACTGCACCTGGATAACTAACAGTAATTATTTACGATTCCTTATGCTGATGGTGCCGATTTCACTACCTGCATAAAGATGGTTTTTAGGCTCAAATTTCCAGAGTTTGTAAAGCTAAAAACGTATTTAGTAGGTACCAATAGTAGGTTATTTTTTCTGTACTCCCATGCAATGCCTACTGAAGAATGATGCCAATTTTCAATCGCTTTGTATAAAAAAAACATTTCAAACATAAAAGGCCCCAATCGAGCTAGAGAAGGAATATCCGCAAAATTGGCACTATTGAGCCTGGCGAAGTTAACATTCTTGTTGAATGCCGTTGAATGTTAGAAGGAAAGAAGACAAATTGATTGAAAGGGAATTGAAGCATAAAGCTGTTTCGCATGCCAAAATTAGCGTCTTAATACTTCAATCTGTCATCTATCTTTCAAGGTTATCAGTGAACAGTCAGAATGGGTCCAATTAGGGAAATCCTGTTATCGTGTCTAAAACCGCACAACCAGCCCGGAAAATAGCACTACACGATAAAGTGAACTCTTCTATGGAAAAATAGGCAATTTTCCCCGCAAAATGTGAAAAAACCACAAAATGTTGGGAATATTTAAGGAACCGATCAGGAGTGGCGCCATCAAACCTGCAACTAATTTTGCGCAATGAAATGACAGCAACCCAAATGGAATTTGGGAATACATTTTTTATTAAAGACGAACTGGATTTTTGAAACTCCTAAAGCGCAATTACGAATTTCAAACTATGGAGAAGGAGATTTCCAAGAGTTTAAATATCCTCCCTCATTCATCAAAAATGCGCAAAACTGTCACCATGACAGCTTTCAACAAACACTGTTCGGAACTGGTCCATAATGTCAATTGTTTTTGTCAATCATGTTCGGAACTGGTCCACAATGTCAATGGTTTTTTCTTGTCAATCAATTTATAAAACTGCCAATTTGTATTTTTCATAATCTAAAAACATCCTGTTACATATTAGTTGGTTGTAATCAAGAAGTGTAGATAAAAGGTTGTTGTTTAAATCAGTGAGAGTTCAGTCCAATATTTTTTCATCATCGAAGGCAAGCAAAGCCAATTAATGGTACAAAGAAGAACAGAAAATAAACAAACACCGTTATGTCACAGAGAAGTAGCAAATGTCAATGAATAGAAGGTGGTTAAAACGCACTTTGATGAAGAAAAATTGTTGATCAAAGTATTATTTTTATTGAATGAATCTAAAAGTGTTATTTTTCGGTCAGAAGCGATGATCAAAAAGAAGCACCTTTCTTTACTGTTCATTTGTTTTACTTTTACGCACGGACTTTTACGGATATGTGCGCAAAAGCAAATCTGACAAATTAAAATTGTCACTGTCATAAAATATTTGAAAGTATTTTCATTAAAAAGTAAACGACAGGCTTTTTCAAGAAATTACGTAGGTTTAAAGAGAACTATTGGTCATAATTTAAAGTTTACTTACAATTTGTAAATTATAACTTTGTTACAATTTCAGTCTTCAAAGTCGTTCAAATGGTTTATTTTTTGTGCTCGCCGATGTTGCCACAAGCAAAACACGATTTTTTTAAAGATCGCAAATTTTATGCAAAATATGCAACACCATACCGTGAAAGCAGCACTTGAATTGTTAACACTCATTGTTTCACTTGTATATGCTTACAAAAGTACGCTTTTGAAAAATTACGAACGTCAAAACATGACAATTTCAAAAATGGCATTGACATCAAGCTTTATATATGAAGTTGACGGCCTTTATTTTTGGCTATTTTTATTTCTTATAACTTATTATTCGTGTTATGTCCTTATTCGAAGAAAAAATATTGTTCGACACGAGGGCGAAAATCCGTTTTTCGCCCTTGTATCGAAAACTACTATTGAAAATATAATGACAATGATACGTTCAATTTGTCAGATTTACTTGTGCGCACATGTGCGTAAAAGTCCGTATGTAAAAGTAAATCTTCTAAAGCTTCTGATCGAAAAATTGCAGTTTTAGATGCATTCGAATAAAAACGGCTATTATAACATTTTCAGTCGGGTTTCTTCGAAAGATAAAAAATGCATTAAAATGAATGTGAAACACGAAATGCAAAGAGTCTCAGTTCGGGGCCGTTTCGCATACAAAGCGATAATGTTTCCACCTCAGTACCATTGGATTTTCGCCACCAGGATACCATAATGAAGAAAATATGCAATAATGCAATGTCACCTCGACCAAGCAGTTCTTTGTCTCGCGGCACACCCACTAGATAAGCAAAACAAGAACTATTTCAATTTTCCCAATGAAAAAAGCGGTTTATGTTACAATTTCTCATTATTTTCCGTGTTACTTAGGCACGTAACCAACACGTTCTTAATATATCATACACACATGTAGGTATACCTACAAGAAATTGCCTTAGTCGTGATTACATAAGGAATGGCCAGCAGAACCACCAGCCATTAGAAAACTTTGAGAAACCAAACTCAAATTGCCCTTCTTATCTGGGAACATTAAAATCTATGCGTAGTAGAGAAAAACAATGACTTTCATGCTAACTAGTTTGCTCTATTGAAAATAAATAATTACACATTAAAGACAGGTGGAGGCAGTTGCGGTTTTTCCAAGAGCCACTCCTGCGGCCATCATCAGGGAACCAGCCAGGCCAATCGGGTTTGTATCCGAGTTGCTAAACGAAGAGTGCTTTGCAGCAAGAAAAATGACGAATTCAGCAGGGTAAAGTGAGAAAAAGTTATCTGCAGGCATCTCGATCTGAATTAGCCAATGCCCTTGGTCGTTGGCCAGCTCATTCCCGTCAGGATCGCCCAAGGAAGGGCCAGTTTATTGTCGAGTTTAGTAGGCGTAGGGCAGGCCTTCTAGGGTGGGGCCCCACAGACCGTCCGCTGCAATTTTGCCCGACGGCCCTTCAACGACAACGGGAACAGTTTTGGGGCCGCTCACCACAGCCCCAGCACCGGAAACCCCAATGCTGCCGCCTCCTTTCGTAAGCACAGCTAAAATTATTTATCACTCAATAACTCGCCCCTTTGAGCCCGAACTAGCTTACCAGCGCCATAGCTGATTGGGGCCGAATAGGCGACTGGGAGTGAAGGGAGGAGCAAAGGCCCCGAAGTGAGGACCGATCCATGACTGACTCCGGAGGTGAGAACTGCTCCAGTGCTGCTGGGGCCTGTGAGGATGGCGCCGGTATCTTTGGGGCCATCAATGATGGCTCCAGTGCTCTGCATGCACTTGAATTATTTCGGGGGCTTTCCAAGGGTTGCTAGGGCTTACCTGAGGTCCTGAGAGGAGAAGTCCTGAAGTTACAGGCCCGGAAACGGACAGTGGAAGAGCAATGGGGGCCACACCCCATCCATAGCCACCAGGTTTGGCTGCTGCCAGAGCCGCAAGAGCGAAGAAAATAATCTGCAATTTTCTTTAGTAGAAACGGATTTTTTGATGGTCGAGACACCCGAGGACTTACCAAGCCTTTCATCTTGGTGTGGTTGAAACTGCTAAATTGTGCCGAATCAAAGACACCCTCGCTTATAAGCTAAAAAGCCGGCCTTCGCGGCACGGAGCTGCCTACTGGGTTTTTTCGCGAGATAAGTGCATTTTTTCGCATACGTGCACGTACCAGTCGCCTAATTGCAACACGGACCTTGAGTGCAGACTTGGAGGGTGTGTAGGCTCCATTCAGGATCCGGCCGGCTATTTTTGGTCCGAGCTGAATATTTCTCCATGGTTCAGCTGTTTTATGTGCCTTGGTGATGTATGGGCTCGGGTATGCAAATGAATTGCCATTTTGTCGTTGGCCAGTTGCATAATCCGGTTCGAATTGTTATTGGTTGAGTGCTTGGCGAGAATTTCGCTCGCAGGGCATTCATTAAGACCCAAAGGGACGCCCTGTGAGTACATGGGGCTTCCAATCTCGAGCAAACACCTAAAGATCTGACTGGAGAGATTATGAGTCAGCCAGCTTTATATTAATCGCTTTCTGATGAAATCTTTTCGGGTATTGCCGATAGGTTGAAAGCAATCAAGGAAGGTCGAAAGTTGGCCCTCAAGTGTGCGAAAAATTGGCAGCGGTTTGTCTAAGTTCACGTTCGCTAGGCCGATTTATTCGCCCGAAACCACCCTGGGGATTTTGCTGAGTTCGAAACTTGGGGGTTGATACTCCAAAGTGCGCTCTATCCAGTGCCCATACCCCAATCCAATTTTTTTGCAATTGATGTCCAAAAATTAGGCCTGGGTAACTCAGTAAATTTTTAGGAGTTGCGCAGTGCTGCGCAATGGCTTGGTGCGCCAATTCATCAAGCCGGCGCAGCAACTCAGTTCCGTTTATAACTAACCGAAAGTTTCGCTTAAAAATGCTGACAATCTAAGGCATTTTCCGCGAAAAATTATGAAATAAATTTCGAATCCTTCGTCGCTTTGTAAAAACATTTGAAATCCCTTTGCAGCTTCGAATTTGGAACAAAAATCAAACAATTTTCTATCAAAGAACGAACAGAATAAGCGAAAGTTTATAACAGATTATTTGGAAATCTCATAACCGCCATTCCTCTGAAGACTGTAGAATTTGTTAAAAAATGTGTTTTTTTAGTTTGCAGTGATTTTTTTTGCTTTACTTTATACTAAAAAACGCTCTATTTTGTAGAGTTTCACTTAACAATACTGGCGATCTGGAAGACTTTTACGCGAAAAATTACAAGATAAATTTATAGCTTTGTAAAAGTATTTTAAAAACTTTTGCAGTGTCGAATTTGGGACAGAGACGAAAATAAATCCCCACCGTTTTTTCCCGAAAACCATTAAGGTTTTCACCAAAACCGATCACAAAACTAAAAGTTTTTAATCGAAAACGCAAAAAGCATTATTTTCTGATGATTTTCTTCTTTTTTTGACAATAATGGGGTATTTTCAGTCAAAAATAACGCTTTCTGATGAAATGTCTTCAGGTATTGCCGATAGGTTGAAAGCAATCAAGGAAGGCCGAAAGTTGGCCCTCAAGTGTGCGAAAAATTGGCAGCGGTTTGTCTAAGTTCACGTTCGCTAGGCCGATTTATTCGCCCGAAACCACCCTGGAGATTTCGCTGAGTTCGAAACTTGGGGGTTGATACTCCAAATCCTATCCAGTCGGCTCTATCCAGTGCCGTGCCCAGCGATTTTGCATCTATGCGAAATTTTTTGCAATTGATGTCCAAAAATTAGGCCTGGGTAATTCAGTGAATTTTTAGGAGTTGGTGCAGTGCTGCGCAAATGGCTTGGTGCGCCAATTCAACGAACCGGCGCAGCAACTCAGTTCCGTTGCTGGGAAAATGTTGATGACTTTTTAAGGCCATTTATTAATAATGTTTTTAAAATGTCTTCCAATTTCAGAATTTTCCAGTTTTCGCTAAGTTACTCTTTCATCTAAATGCTCAATTTTCTAAAGTTTCGCTTAAAAATGCTGACAATCTTAAGGCATTTTCCGCGAAAAATTATGAAATAAATTTCGAATCCTTCGTCGCTTTGTAAAAACTTTTGAAATCCATTTCCATCTTCGAATTTTGATCAAAAATCAGACAATTTTCGATAAAAAAACGAACAGAATAAGCGAAAGTTTATAACAGATTTTTTGGAAATCTCGTCACTTCCGTTCCTCTGAAGACTGTAGAATTTGTAAAAAAATGTGGTTTTTAAGTTTTCAGTGAATTTTTTTTGCTTTCCTTTCTACTAAAAACGCTCTATTTTGTAGAGTTTCACTTTAAAATACTGACGATCTGGAGGACTTTTACGCGAAAAATTACAAGATAAATTTATTCAGTGTCGAATTCGGGACAGAAACGAAAATAAATCCCTACCGTTTTTTCCCGAAAACCATTAAGGTTTTCTCCAAAATCGATCACAAAACTAAAAGTTTTAATTGACAACGCAAAAAAGCATTATTTTCTGATGATTTTCTTCTTTTTTGACAATAATGGGGTATTTTCAGTCAAAAATGACTCTGAAGTGAATTTTTAGGAGTTGGCGCAGTGCTGCGCAAATGGCTTGGTGCGCCAATTCAACGAACTGGCGCAGCAACTCAGGTCCGTTACTGGGAAAATGTTGATGACTTTTTTCAACTTTTCTTAGATTTAATTTGAAGGGCATTTATTAATAATATTTTAAAAATGTCTTTAAATTTCAGAATTTTCCAGTTTTAGCCAAATTACTCTTTCATCTAAATGCTCAATTTTCTAAAGTTTCGCTTAAAAATGTTGACAATCTTAAGGGATTTTCCGGGAAAAAAATATTTTTTGAAATCCCTTTCCAACTTTGAATTTTGAACAAAAACCAAACAATTTTTTATAAAAAAATCGAACAGAATAAGCGTGATTTTTTTTGCTTTACTTTCTACTAAAAACGCTCTGTTTTGTAGAGTTTTAATTTAAAAATACTGACGATCTGGAGGACTTTTACGCGAAAAATTACAAGATAAATTCATAGCTTTGTAAAAAATTTACAAAAACTTTTTCAGTGTCGAATTCGGGACAGAAACGAAACTAAATCCCTACCATTTTTTCCCGAAAACCATTATTATAATTAAGCATTATTTTCTGACGATTTTCTTCTTTTTTGGCAATAATGGGGTATTTTCAGTGAAAAATGACTCAGTGAATTTTTACGAGTCGGTACAGTGCTGCGCAAATGGCTTGGTGTGCCAATTCAACAAACCGGCGCAGTAACTCAGTTTCATTTCAGAAAACGTCACTATTTATTTATTTGCCAACGTTTCGACTTTCATTGGGGTATTCTTTAAGGCTCCAATTATGTGTGAACTTTCTGTCAAACTAGATTTATTAGAGTGAATTCATTAATATAATTCTCAATCCGCAAAATCGCATTCGCACAATTCTGCACTGCAGACTGAGATGATGCATAATTACGAATTTATTAAAAATAACTAGTGCCTTGCCATGAAGATGCATTCACTATAATGAAGCTACTTCGACAGAACGTTCACAAATAATTTGGGCCTTGAAGAAGACCCCAGTCAAGGTCGAAACGCCGGCAAATAATTAAATAGTGCGGTTTTCATCAGTGTCCCACACCCGTTACCTTCAACCTAATTTTCCGATTGGGACACCAAACAACCAAACGAAATTGTGACTTAAATTATGAGTTAACAAAATGACGTAACCCCTTTTTTGGTTGTTTGGGCAAAGTGGTAAAACATTACTCATAAAAAATGTTGATGACCCTTTTTTCAAATGTTAAAATTCTAGTCTAGGGTCGCGTAAAGCTTTAAACCACTTTAATAGATGAGTTATAACTCATCGGCTATTGAGTTATAACTCATCAACTCAGAGAGCGGCAACAACTCAAAAGCGCAACTCAACACAGTGTCACCCAGGCCTACCAAAAATTGGTTTTTAAATTTGCGGTATTTAGATAAATAGTGAAAACCTATCAAGATCGTTTTTGGAGTCTTGACCGCCTTTAAAAGTATTTTTGCCAAAAAAACGGGAAAAATTGTTTTTTCAATTGGTTTTTTCTGTTCTGAGGGGTGATCACATGGATCTCCCAGTCAAGGGAAAATGTCTCTAAAAAACCTTTATTGCGCCCTTGATACATTTTAATTTTTTGCGCCCAAACGACGCCGTAAATCAAAAAATGATGCTTTTAAGAAAACATTTCGGCATCCCAAAAGTATTTAGCCGCGTTTTTCCCAAAGTTTGATGAGTTTCATCGGGTTATTTTTCACAATATTCAGACTTGGCAGGATTGTAAATGCAATTTTTTCAGTAAAATTGAGCGAAATTGTTGCTTATTCGTAGAATTTATTCCGAATTTCTCGCAAACAGGCCATAAATGAAGAAGCTCGTCTTCACTCATCAGGATTTTTGAAAAACAGGCTCCCGTTGAGCTTAAACGTCCATTTTGAGTCAAAATCTAGGAACACTTTCAACTTTCAGCCTCAAATGTCTCCTTAAATTAAAGTCCGGTTAAAGACGAAGATTTTTTAGAATTTCTCCCAAACAGATGATTTGTGTCAATAAATAGGCTCCGCCGCATTTGTGCCCAATATTACATAAAACGATTGAATACAGATCGATTGGAAGAGGTGGACCAGAAACAGGCCACTTCGATCACCTGACCTAAACATTCGGGACTTTTAACCAGTGAACAGAAGCAAAAGGAGGATTCAGTCCCTTGTTCCTGAATGTTTTCTAGTTAGAATTTATAGTGCCACGACTGTTAAAAGCTGAATTTTAGACCTCTTCCTACAGGACCTAACTTTTAACTTTTGCGCCTTAAGACATTGCGTTACCTGCATGTCATCCGGAGTATATTTTGTTTGATTTTAATTTTGAGTAAATTGAGGTTTTTTGAATGAATGGCCCAATAGGGTCAGGGGTGTAGATTGAACAACAATAGGTTGTATGCACGCCTATTAAGCAAAGTATTATTTACATAAAATCTAGATCGTTAAATCGCACGATTCCGGTGTCGAATGCACGTTGCACCCAGTTAGTTTCACGACATGGGCAACACCCTTTTTGTTGGCATTTTTTCAAAGTGCATCTAGCTCAATATCACCTGAAATCGGTTTTTCGCTATCGGAAAAGCCGGAGCGGCATCGTCTTCTTGACATTAAACGACCTAGCGGAAAATGGTACTGCCCACAATCAGGTGACACGATTTACCGTAAGCACATTTCCTTTCTATCTCTTAGCAGTGTCCGGCTAATAAATAATTCCTGCCAATTAACATTGAGTTTTTTCCTGCCGTAAATATGGCCATTTTTCATTCATTATCGCTGTCTAAGAATGGGTTCTCTGTTGGCGCACATTGGCGACCGTGTGTGCTATTAGTCATCAAGTTCCTGCTTCTAGATGGAAAATGCCTCTGCTAATCCCAGCCTAATCAGCTCCCAAAGAGTTTTTGGCACTTTAGCTAAAAACGCGGGCGATTTCCTTTGGTATGCGGGTTTTTTTGCTAGTAACTCAAGTCGAGCAGTTTCCACTCGAGCGACATGCAAATGAGCAACCCGAGAACAAACGACCTTAGGATATAAATTTCGGCCTGTGTGCCTTACACGTACCCACCACCCCACCAGTCTGATGTAATTTCAACGGTAAATGAACGAATAGAAATCATATTATCCATCGATAATTGCAAAACGGATTTTTTCCCCAGTTCCGTACACGCTGTCGAAGGTCGTAGTGCGATCTATATATACTGGGGTGTAGCCGGTAATAGGGCACAGTCAAGTCCAGCTCTCAAGACAAGACACCATCTAACAATGAACGGTTTGGTAAGCTCACTTTGCCTTTGCCTTCAGCCTTTGGTGCTCATCATTTATGCATTTCTCCATAGATCATCGCCCTTGCCACCCTTTCCGTTGCTTTCGCAGCCCCCAGCGGTGTTCTCCTGGGAGGACATGGTTTGGGACTGGGAGGACATGGTTTGGGATTGGGAGGAATCGGCCTTGTTGGCCCTTCAGCCCTTGGCGTGTCCGTTGTTGGTAAGTTGCAGGCTCCCGGAAAAATCGTTCAGCTTCCAATTGGGTTTCCGTGCAGGCCCTGCAGCCCATGGAGTCTCATTGGTGGGCCCCTCCACCCATGGAGCCGCTGTTGTAGGACCTTCCACTCTTGGAGCCACCGTTGTTGGACCTAGCGCAGGCCCTGCTGCCGTTATTGGCGCTAGTGCCGGACATTCAGCTATCATTGGCGCTTCTGCCCATGGAGCTGCTCTTGTTGGTAAGGCTCACAACTGCCGAACTATAAGGTTCCATTACTCAATAATCGAACTGTTTTCCAGGACCCTCCCTTGGACTCGGAGTTGGACTTGGCCACGGACTGGGATTGGGTAAGTCCCCGACCAAATCCTCTCCCAACTGTGACTAAAGGGTGTTTTGCAGGAATTGGCGGCCTTGCCCATGGAGTGACCGTTGCCGGACCACCCACTGTTCCCGCCACCATCACTGGACCATCCGGAACTGTGCACGCCGCTGGTTTGTGGGGCCCAACCCTTGCTCACGGCCATGGTGGGCATTGGTAATTCGCCCCCGTAAGCCCGACCATCCAATGCCCAGCGGTTAATCATCCGGCAACATACTGGGAAGCTCAAGCAACTTTGTAGGTGTATTGCCGGATGTTTTTACCGCTTTGGGTTCAGTCTGATTAGTTTGCTGTGTGACCTGTTGTGTACTGCCTCTGGTTCATTATATGTTCTGTATATTTTGTACCATACTACCTTTGTAAGATAGCAATTGCGTTCAATAAAGAACTATTATTGACAACTTTTGCCCTTTTTTGCCCGCACTACGGTCTACTTACCAGCAAGTTCCTGCTGCTGTGGTTTAGCTTGCTTTCAATATTAATCCTCGTTCTTTGAAGCAACTAAGCTAAGAATAAGAAGAAGTTCTGGCTGCTTGTCGGGGAAAGCTGTCAGTAGAGGAAATGGGTTCCTGAAACTTTAAGAGCAGGTGTTTGAAGAACCGTTGGCGCAACTAAGACAATTAAATTGTTCAGTTTTTTCCGCTGTTTGAAGAGAACCTTCATTTAAAGACTTGCAACTAGAACAGGCAAGAGTGGAGGCCGAGTAGTTTTGCGCTATTAAAGAAATTTGAATTGGTAAAGGCCAAATCCTGCGGTGGCAGTACCAAGAAAAGCCGGGAGATCGTGCAAGGAAATGCGTCTTACAACAAAGGCGTGGCACTGGCTGCACATAAACCTGAATAAAAAACTGTAGCAAGGACTCGTAACGGTATAAATGGGAAAATATGAGGTAAACAAATATCAAAACTGGTACCACATTGTCATTTCGCGTAAACTGGCCGGTGCCTGTTGACGGGGAAGTTTGAACATGCAGCTCGAACTGGTACGTACAACCCTATACTTTGCTTGCTACCTGCTTCTAGCTCACCACTTATCATGGTGGCACTTGTGGATTATGGGTACTTAACCATTTATGGCACTTGTTATGTAAGTTAATGGCTTTGTTTACTTGGTACTGCGCCATTCACTTGGTTCCAACAAGAGACAATGCGGGTGTGGAAGCAAGGGAATTTTTCTTGTTATTGGCAAGTGGCAAGAACCTTTGCACATTATAAGTCTCAAATCGTGAAAAACTATGCTTTTGTAGTTCAGTCGCGATTAGAATCAAACAGTCGCATTCTACAGGGTGGTTTTTTAGTGCGAGAAGGTCCATTATTTCCGTTGGTGTTAAACTTTCGAAAAATAGTTTCATATAAAAGTTGTTGACGCACAAAGTGCGCACATTTTAAAAATATCTTATAT